ATGGTGGCCGTTCTTGCAGCTGTGAGGTGATACCCTAGTGGTTTAATTTGCACTTCTCTGATGATTAGTGACGATGAGCATCTTTTCTTACGTCTGTTGGCCATCTGTATGTCCTCTTTGGAGAAACGCCTATTCAGGTCGTCTGCCCATTTTTTAATTGGATTGTTTGGATTTTTTGGTGGTAACTTGTGAGTTCCTTACACCTTTTGGAAATTAGCCCCTGATCAGATGTATCATTGCCAAATATCTTCTCCCACCCAGTAGGTTGCCTTTTCATTTGGTTGATAGTTTCCTTTGCTGTGCAAACGCTTTTTAGTTCGATGGAGTCCGTTTGTTTTCACAGCTTTCATTTTCAAACGCTAGCTTTTGTGTCCGACGAGGTATTGTGCCCAGACGATGAAAACTCTGTGTGCTGTAGAAAGCCCCTTAAGCATTAACCTGTAACGAAAGCAAAGGGGCGAAGTTCTACCCAGGTCCCACCAGCTTCTAACCCTGACTCGACTAATGTCTCTTTTAGGGTCCGATTCATTCGCTCTACTTGGCCCGAACTCTGGGGCCGGTAGGCGCAGTGGAGTCTCCATCGCAGATTTAGGTAGCCAGCCAATAGCTGGGACACCTTTGCTACGAAGGCTGGCCCGTCATCCGACCCTAAAATTCCGGGGCGACCAAATCGAGGGAGGATTTCTTGCAGTAGTTTCTTAGTAACTGCTAAGGCAGTCTCTTTCCTGGTGGGGAGGCCTCTACCCATCCTGAAAAGGTGCCTATAAAAACAAGTAAATATTTGTAGCCCCCCACAGTCAGGGTTACCTCAGTGAAATCGACTTCCCAGTGGTCCCCCGGATAAGTTCCTCTTTCCTATGCCTAGGTTCTTCTATCTTCCCCTTCTTTGGATTAACTTGGGCACAAGCTGGGCATCGTGAGGCAATCTCCTCTGCGGTTCTTCTCCCTTCTGGAGCATCTTAGTTCGCCCTAGGTGTGTGGTCTGGTGTAGTTGGTGGGGGAGAGTCCTTCCAAGGGCCCATGAGAGCCTGACTTTTCCATCTGGGGTCGTCCACCACCCCTGTTGGTTCCTAGTGGCTCCCTTGTCTTGAAAATATATGTTCTCTTCCACTATATAGGG